ATGCACACACACACACACACACACACACACACACACACACACACACATCACATCAGTTGAGTTTTCTAGTTAAAGTTTCTAGTTAAAGTTCCTATAATTTTGAAACTCCAAAAGTGTATTGTGGACTCAAACACTTCCCCCACCCCCTCCATCGGAATAGTGGTGAGTAGATAACGAGTGAATTTTAATTTTTCTGTGAACTATCCCTTCAAAGGTCCCAAATAATAAATCAAGCAGAATATTAATTTTGCTTTTATTCTTTTCATTCATCACTCATCAACACAGCTCTGTGTTCTGTCTTCTAGGTATTCAATTTACCCGTATTCTGTTCTTTCTCGATGTGGCATCAAACACCCGAAGCCGTTACCTTTATTTGGTAACATATTCATGTTTCGCCAGGTAAGACGTTGCATCAGCCTCCAACAAATTTTGATTTACCCCTCGTGTCCCTTCACTTTGTCTTTATATTTACCCTGTGTCAAATCATTGTCTAACCCATCAACCACCTCCCACAGCGAGAGACAGAGAGTGATGCCTCCATTAATTAGTTAAATTCCTCTCTGTTTTTGTCTGTGATTACACGTGAGTGTCAGTGCTGTCCCTTCATGTGAAAGAGTTGTGAGGCTGATTAGTTGTCACACTGTTAAATTACATTAGTTAACATTGTTCCTCAATCTTCTGTTCAGGGATTTTTCAACCCAATCGCTGATCTCATAAGGACACATGGCAGAGTTTGTGGGTAAATAAAATGACTTCACATATTTACACCTTCCACATTAAATGAAATGTAGCTCTGATTTTACTCTACTTGGTGTATATCAGGTACTATTTGGGTCGCAGACCAGTGGTGGTGGTCGCAGACCCTGACATGCTCAGACAAGTGATGGTCAGAGACTTCAGCAGTTTCCCAAACAGAATGGTGACAACACAACTAACTTAACTAAATCCGAACATATACTGTATATAATGTTTTTACTCGTCATGTGGTAAAGATAAAGGATGTTTTTACCTGTACTCTCCTGTTTTTCTGTACAGACGATTCGCTTCGCCACCAAGCCCATGTCTGACTGCCTGCTCATGTTGAGGAACGAGCGCTGGAAGAGGGTGCGGAGCATCCTGACCCCGTCCTTCAGCTCTGCAAAGATGAAAGAGGTGAGATAAGCAGACTTGTATTATTTTGACACTAGCTAGAATGAGCTGATAAGTTTTTTAAAAGACCATGGACGTGTGGAGTCTGAGGACACAGACAGAAAGTGGAGGAGTTAAACTTAACGTAACTTTCAAGGTTTGGTACAAAATATCTAAATTCTGTTTTGTTACGTTTTAACAAAGACAATATATCAAATGGTGATAATGAAATCACAGTTTAGTTCACGGCTTCAGTTACACAGCTTTCTTTGGAATTCAGGGTGAAGCCTGTTGGCCTTGTACTGCTGATGTTGTCTTATTAATTCATGGACTCTGCTTTTAACCTAATGTATCAGGTGGAGACTCATTTACTGACTTGATTCCCCACAGTGCATCACATGCTCATCTTTTATTTATTAAAGAAAATATTGTGCATTCAATCAGCATGAATCAGCATCAGAGTATTTCAGCTGTGTAGTGTGACTGTGAGCTTTTCTTGAATGATCAATATTAGACTTGAGTGATATTGAAAAGACAGATTTCACTCACAGCAGTTGTGACAAGTGTCGCTGTTTTCTCTTGTAGATGGTTCCACTCATCAACACAGCCACCAACGTTCTGATGAACAACCTGAATGTGTACGCAGAGTCAGGAGAGGCCTTTGACATCCACAGGTAGTGAAATGATCTAAATAAACAATAAACAAAGTCTATTCAAATGAAGGTGTCTCTTCCTGCCCTGCCTCATGTTTTTGCAAATGTTTTCGCAGATGTTTTGGCTGCTTCACCATGGATGTTATCGCCAGTGTGGCATTTGCAACTCAGGTGGACTCTCAGAAAAACCCAGATGACCCATTTGTCCGTCACGCTCAGATGTTCTTCTCCTTCTCTTTCTTCAGGCCCATCACGCTATTTTTTAGTGAGTCCAATGTATTGATGTTATTATTGTTTATAACATTATATATGTTTTGTAGATTGAGTCATGTGGAAGCGTCCACATCCGGCATCTCAGGTTGGGTAAAATCAATTAATCTGATTTGTGTGTCCAGTCGCATTTCCTTTCATCGCGGCTCCTCTGGTGGGACTCATCCCCAACAAAAGACTTGCCAATATGAATCATTTCTTTATCAACTGTATCCAGAAGATCATCACGCAGAGAGAGGAGCAGCCTCCTGAACAGGTGAATCTTTGGGACATTTATTATGGGTGCCTTGCCAGCTGGGGGCTCCGCCCCCAGCTGGCAATGCATTGCATGGGGCGAAGCCCCATGCAATGCATTGGCACT